ACCCGATCCGCCATCTTGTTTGTTCTCCCTAATACATCTTGATTGCATGTTTGATCAGTCTCAGGCTGAAGAAATTGGTAAAATTCTTCAATTTCATCATCACTGGCTTTAGTGGTTGGTATATAAATTTGAATAATAGTGGCATTAGCTGGTCTTCCTTGTAGGCAGATGGATAGTATCGTATCACAGAGAGCACTGTACTTCAAGATAGTTTGTGAAATGTTTTTTGTTTATGATGAATGTGACACCATTCCTCTTCAATTGGTCATTCCCAGCATAGTAAACCATGTGCTTTTCAGATTCAAAATGGCCAATACCAGTGCATTTCAGCTCACTAATGCCTAGGATATCAATGTTTATGTGTTCCATTTCATTGTTGACAACTTCCAGTTTTCCTAAATTCAAAGTTAATATGTCTGTGTTCTGATTATTAATGATTGTTTCCAGCTGCTTCTTCTCATTTTGAGTTGTGCCTATTAGCAAATGAAGATTCTGAAAATTTTACTTCATTTGTGTCATCATGGTCAACTCTGCTTGGAGGAGACAGCTCTTCTTGTCTCATTTTGAGAGCCTTCCAACTTGAGGGATTCATCGTCCAGCACTGTATCTGACAATATCTTAGTGCTCTTCATCATGTTTTGATAGTTAATATTCTGGTTTGACAATGTTCCACTGTTATTAATAAGGTTTTCAGGGACTAAACATTCGGAAGTAGTCCCTCTGTCCTTCCTAGTCTGTCTTAATCTGGAAGCTCATCTGAAACCTGTCCACCTCAGTGACCCTGCTGGTATAAAAAGTACTGGTGGCATAGCTTCTGGAATCACAGCAACATGCAAGCCACCAGAGCAGGACAGACTGACAGACACGTGGTGGAAGTGGACAATGGCAAAAGGAAAGAGACAGGAAGTGTGAGCACTGGAGTGGCTGCCTCCTCGTCCCTCCGCAAAACCTCTCTGTTTTGGAAGAGCCGTGGCTCCTTTATTACAACCAGCATGTTCTTTGAAGGGCTCCTTCTTGTTGTTAAGTGCTGCTGAGTCATAATGACCCTCTATAGGGTTTCCAAGGAGCAGCTGATGAATTTGAACTGCCGACCTTGCAGTCTAGTGCATCATCCCACAGTTCCACACCAGGACTCCTGAAGGGCTCCTAGGTGACCCAAATGGTTAAATGCTCAACTGCTAAGAGAAAGGTTAGTGGTCTGAAGCCTCCCAGAGATGGCATGGAAGAAAAGCCTGCTGATCTGCCTCCCTAAAGATCACAGCCAAGAAAACCCTATGGAGCAGAGTTCTACTGCATGTAAAGTTCCATGGTATGTAAAGTGCCAGTGGCATAGCTTCCAGCATCTCAGCAACATGCAAGTGACCACAGCACGACAAACTGACAGACGAGTGGTGGACTCCAAAACACAGAGATCTAAAACAATTGTTCCCAGGAATGAAGTTGACCTGGATTCTCAGTCAGTGAGACAGGAAGTCACAGTGACAGACAGGAAGTTCCTCCCCATATGTCATTCAGTCTTCAAGTGTGTGTGTGTGGTGGTGGTGGTGGTGGTGGGGGAGACAGGAAGAAGGAGGGAAGGAAGCTCTGAAGGAGGGGTGTGACCCACAGTGACCCAGGCTGTGAGTAAAATAACACTGAGAAAATCCTTAAATGTGACTAGAAAAAATAAATTAAATTAAATTGAATATCTCTCTTCTGTGGAAGTGGCTTTTGATAAACCTCTGTCTGCTTCACACTTGTTTAATGGTAATACACGATTTGAAAACTTTCTAGTGTTGTTTTGGCAAGGTGGTATGTGTTTTCAGTCACAGATGTGTTTACACATTTGAGTCACAGTGTATACGTTTAGATCCTGGACTTCTGGATCAGCACTGAACTGCGAACCCCAACAATAGCAGTTCAAACCTACCAGCTGCTCCTTGGAAACCCTATACAGGGTCGCTGTGAGTCAGAACCAACTTGATGGCACTTAGTATATACTCCTATGTATGTATACACACACACATAGTTCCTACAGGCTTACTGATGTGTGTCTGGGGCTGCAGCACAAAATCTGAAGGATTGGTACCAAAATGTCAACTGGGGGAACCAGCGGGGTAAGAATTAAATCCTGTTTTGTTTTTTGTTTTTTTTCTTACTTTTGAATGTATATCCTAATTCCTTCTCCCTCACCCCAACTGAGTCTGTCCTACAAATAAAAGCAAGAAATCAAGAGCCACCCTCCTGGTTATAAACCCATCCCATAAACCACCAACGCACGCACCAATGAATACCTTGCTTGATGATGGGAGACTTGTGGGTCTTATCCACCACAAATGAGAACATCTTCCCGCTGGCACTCACAGGCCGCTTGTGAGAGCTGGGCTGGACCCTGGTGGGCCTGGGGAATCCCTGGGACCAGCTCCTCTGCACTGGCACTGGTCGGATGCCCTGCTGGAAGGGAAACGGAGGTGGCGAGGGTGACTGATTCGGCTGCTGTGTGGTCCAAGGTGGCTGTGGCCTTGGCCAGGGTGCTGGGCTCCTCACCCACGGGTAGGAGACCTGTAGGGACAGACAGGAGGGCCAGGGAGGTTATAGTCAGCTGGGATGGTCTCCAACCCTTTGTGCTGGGCATAATTGCTGCCTGAGGTCTCAGCGTATGAGTCACCTCCCCCGGGAAGCCTTCCTGGACTCTTCATAAGAGAGGGATGCTGGTCCCTGCTTTGGACTATTTGGGCTATACAGCGCTCTATCACACCACCATTTACTGGGTGCCCTTCTTGTCAGGCACCCACAGGCACCAACTTAATGCACCCAAACACTCTGGAAAGAAGCCAAGGCAGGACATGTCTTTCCCAAGGTCACAGGTGTGGTTGTGAACTGCTGAGTTCACAAAAAGTGAGACTATCACTTTTAAGAGATTAGGGACGTTTTCTCTCTCTTGTTCATCAACTAGCAGTAACGCCTGGCATATAGAAAACACCAGCTGCCATCAAGTTCACCCGATGAGTGGAGAATCCATGTGTGCCAGAGTAAGACTGGGCCCAATAGGTTTTCAGTGGTTGATTTTTTGGGGGGGGAGAGGGGAACAAGATTGCCAGCCCTTTCTTCTGAGGTGAAGTACCAGTGGGTAGACTTGAACTTTGGTTAGCAGTGGATTGCATTAACAGTTTACACTAACCAGGCACTCCTGATACCTAATATGAGGCAGCTTCAAAAGGTTCCTGAAAAAACTAAATGAACAGACAATAGGATTTTTCCACAAACATTCTGAAACTCCCTCACAGACCCTGAAAGACTGGTTGTAGAGAAACTGGAGTCCTGGTGTGGCGCTGTGGGTTAACACACTAGACTGCAAAGTCAGATTGAAACTGCAAGGTTGGCGATTCAAGCTCACCAGCCACTCCTTGGAAACCCTATACAGGGTTGCTATGGGTCGGAACTTGACAGTACTTAACAACAGAGTAACTGAGCAAACAGCTCCGATTCCAAAAGAGCTCTTAAGCCTGTTGTCTTTCCACCCACACACGTCTGGCACCTCTGCCCTATCTGGACCCCACTCTTATTATCCTTAGATGCCCCCTTCCTGCTCCAACACCTCATTCCAGACAGATATGCCACAAACACCTGCCCTGAGAATCTTCAGTTGTCTGACCCTGGGGCAGATGTTGGTCTGTAGATAATTCCAATGGAAAGCCCATCAAAATCCATCTAACCAGGGAGAAGCAAATTGTTGAGAAGGGCTGACGTCTGGCTTGGTCTAGGATAAACTGTGTTTTCTCAAGACTACTCCTTCTTTTCCGGTGGTTCACTGAAGCCACTGATGAGGGTGCTCAGTCATTTGCTGTGCTGAACTTACCCAGTTTCACAATGACCTGTGTCTCCTTGTTACTATTTTATAAAGGAGGCATGGAGTTTGCCCAAGGTGGTGGGGACAGAGTCGGGATCAAGGTTTAAGACTTCTCCCCTCCCCCTGCTCTTCTCTGTTCCCCTCTTCTCCTCCACCCCCAAGCCCTGTCTTCTCCTTTCCCTGTGATTTTCCCTCCCTCCCAACTCTGTGGCCAGAAAAACACACTTTTGCAGTTAAGAAGTTAAGTCCAGCCCTGGGTTTGTTGTCTAAGTAGGACCACGTATCTAGTCTCCTGGGCTGACCCTTTTCCTCTGTCTATGGAAAGCATATGAGTTCTGAGACACTTAATAAAGGACACGACAGGATGCTTCCAGTATATGTGCACCTGTAGACAGGACTTCCTATGATCTCAGCTGGATTTTACTCACTGAGGATCCTGAACCAATCATGATGTCTTTATGCAGCAAGGCAAGGATCCTGTGTGCTTATGGAAGGACTCAAGGAAGCAGTGAGAACACTGTGTAGAGAGATCAGAAGCCTGGGTACCACCCACCTGAGGCATCTAGCCCAGCTGTTGCAATGACATTGGCCCATTTAAAATCTCTTATCAGGAATGTGGCTTTGCAGAGCTTTGAAACTCTTTGTTGTTGTTGTTGTT